TTAATAGGACTAATTCTATATAGAAACTTTAAGTGTGAACCCAATCTCCCTGGAGATGGAGGAGATTGTTCCTTCCAGAAGTATTTTTAGGGACTGAAGATGTTTGTACTAATGTTCTTGTTATCTTTAAAGTAAATAATTCTTAGTAAAAGCTAAATTAGGTTATTTGGTTAAATGGAACTAGGGTGCTAAACCCTGGTGGTCAACAGTAAGGAAACCATACCTGAATTGGGCCTTAGAGCAGTAGCATTAGAGAAGAGATACCCCAACTTCTCATCAGTATCCCTAGAAACTTGAACAGTTGATGAAATTGGTCTCATTCTGGAAGAGTGAAGCCAGAGTACTTGTTACATGTGAGGGCTCATCTAGGAAAAAATTTCATCTTTTCACATTTGTCAAGACACTTAGAAAATTTCTCCATCCAGAACTTTCATGATTGGATACTTTAGGAACATCACTGCCCAAATCTAGAGTTTCCAAGTAAAAAAAAAATACTTCATGGAGCCAGAAAGAAAGAGTTTTAGTACCAAAAGGCTCTGTCAAGATTATACAACTTTGAACAGCTACTACTATTAAGAGGAAAAGGACATGGAATAAATAAATATTCTAAAAGGCAAAAGATTCAGGTTTACAACCAGGGATAATTTACCCAGAAATACTGAGTATAATAGTCACAGGGCATAAACAGAGCTTTCAGTGACATAAACAACTTCCTATCATTTCTGGTGAAATGACCAGAGCTGAGTAGATACTATGAAACACAAACACAGATTTCAAAGGAAACATAAGAAGCGAATAGGAGCAAGTAATTAGAAAGGGGCCATACAAGGATGAAGTGTTTACATTCCAGTGAGGGAAAGGATGGTACTGATGGTAAAATTCTAATGTCGTTAGAGGTCTTAAAGGGAATTAAAGAAAAGGTGTGATATTGAATTTGAGTTTTCATGAACTTTAAAAAAGAAAGGATGTGCAGCGGGAAAGGAATATACTGGAAAGAAAAGGGGGAGGAACAGTGGGTGAACTTAACTAGTTTGTATAACGAGGTTGTTTAACTAGAATGTTATTCAAGCAGGAACAATGAGGTTGGAATAGGTGGTTTTTAGTAGAACCACTTTCATCTGAATCAGGCGAGCCAGGTAAAACACACACATGGGATGTGGTATCATAATACTTTCTACTCAGTAGGAGAGCAGGAGGAAAAATGTAATGGGAGGGGCAAATAAGAGGGAAATTAGATTCAGGGAAGGTTTACTTTGCAGGGTGGATTTTGAAGAGATTTTTTTAAAAAACATATTTATTTTTAATTTTCCACATTCATTTCCATATGATTTTGAGTTCCAAATTTTCTCCCCGTCCCTTCCTTTACCCATCCCCAAGATGATGTGCAATCTGGTGTAGACTCTACACACACATTCTTATTAAACATATTTTCACATTAGTCATATTGTAAAGAAAAATTAGAATCAATGGGAGGAGTTAAGAGAAAGCAGAAACAGAAAAAGAAAGCAAATAATGTGCTTCGATCTGTATTCAGATTCCATTCTTTTTTGGATGTGGACAGCATTTTCCATCATGAGACTTTTGGAGATGTCTTAGATCCTTGCATTGCTAAGAAGAGATAAGTCTATCAAAGTTAGTCATCACAGAGGGGCATCTAGGTGGCATATTGGATAGAGCACTGGCCCTGGAGTCAGGAGGACCTGCGTTCAAATCCGGCCTCAGACCAGACACTTGACACTTACTAGCTGTGTGATCCTGGGCAAGTCACTTAACCCCAATTGCCCCGCCCCCCCAAAAGCTAATTATCACATGATGTGGCTGTTACTATGTACAATGTTCTGGTTCTGCTCACTTCACTCATGTCAGTCCATGCAAGTCTTACCAGTTTTTTCTGAAGTCTGCCTGCTCGTCATTTCTTCTAGCACAATGGTATTCCATTACATTCATAAACCACAACTTGTTCAGCCATTCCCCAACTGATGGGCGTCCCCTCAATTTCTATTTCTTTGCCATCACAAAAAGAGCTTCTTTAAATATTTTTGTATATGTAGATCCTTTCCCATTTGTATGATCTTGTTGGTATACAGACCTAAGAGTGGTATTGCAGGGTATACACATTTTTATAGCCCTTTGGGTACAGTTCCAAATTGCTTTCCAGAATGGTAGGATCAGTTCACAACTCCACCAACAATGCATTAGTGTTCCAACTTTCCCACATTTTCTCCAGCATTTATTATTTTCTTGTTTTGTCATGTTGACCAGTCTGTTAAGTGTGATGTCTTACCTCAGAGTTGTTTTGATTTGCATTTCTCTAATCCATAATGATTTAGAGCATTTTTTCACATGACTATAGATAGCTTTAATTTCTTCATCTGAAAACTGCCTGTTCATATCCTTTGACCATTTATCAATTGGGGATTTGAAAAGAGATTTTAAATGGAAAAAAAGAAAGTGTTGTATGATTACAGTTTGGATAAATGGGAAGACGAGAGGGGTAGGAGGACAGAAGTAGATTGCATCAAGTACAGAATGCTAGACTTGACCCCATTCACTTCTCATCACCCTTCTTTTTCTTTATAAAAATGCAGTTGAGGAAGTAACTAAAAGAGAATGCAAAGGAAACCAGAATGGAGGGAAATGAACAATTTGTTTTCACAATTGTGAACGTGAATGGGACAATGATGGAACTGAGGCAACTGAGTGAACCATACTGACTCTATCTTGTGACTCAAATCTGGATCTGGCTCAGTTCCCTTTCTATTCATTTATGTGTCAAGGCCAATTTCTGCCTTGTGAGAATGCTTTATTTTATTGTTTGAACCTAAGCCTGCCTGGCTGGGAAGCTGGATGACTTTTATGTGTTGCTGAGAGACCCTTAACTAAAGACCCAGGTTATGCTGAACAGAAACCCAGTCAGCTCTGAAATTTGATGCAAGGAGTTTTCTCAAGCAATCCATATGTCTTTTCTGAAAACTGGCCTGTAATGGTTAATCAAGTATTGTTTCCATTTTTCTTTTATGGCATAAAGATACCCGCAGGGAGTGGGATACCTCTTTTTCTGATTTCAGGGAATTACACCTGTTTGCTCTTTACTCCCTACTTAGAAAGTCCTTCATCTTTTGTCCAATTCAAAATCAAATTGCCTAATTCCTTATCCTTCTTAATGGTTTTCCTATAATTAATTGGCTTTTTAAATTGTTTTTATGCCTAAAAATCTGTCTCCCCCTATATTTGGGCCCAGTCCCCAAAACTGAGGAAGTCCTGGTCAGTTTGTTGGGCAGTTGGCTTTCATTGTTTATTAAATGAATATGCTCAGGAGCTCATATCTTTGTTTCCTGAGTCATTTCACCTTTTACTTACGCACCACAAAGACCTCCTACCCACCATGGGAAAATGTGACAGAATGGGTTAAAAAGTAGAACCCAACAATGTGTTGGGGTTTTTTGTTTTTTTAAAAAAACACATGTGGGGCAGCTAGGTGGCACAGTGGGTAAAGCTCCGGCCTTGGAGTTAGGAGGACCTGAGTTCAACTTCGGCCTCAGACACTTGACACTTACTAGGTGTGTGACCTTGGGCAAGTCACTTAAACCCGATGGCCTCACTAAAAGAAAAAAAACACCAAAAAACACCATATGTGACACATTAAGATTCATGTGGAATTAAAATAATGGTTTGGAACAAAATGTATTAGGCATTACTTCTTAAAATTTGAAATTAGGTGTTATACCTCAGAAACACTGAACTCGGGATGATGAACTCTGTTTTCTGTTCCCCAATCTACTGTGATCTCACCAAGCATGGAAGTTTTGGAAAGTCATTCAACCTCTCTGAGCCTCTGTTTCTATCAAAGGCCTCACTATTCTTTGAGTCCCCCACATTTGAAATCTGGAAATCATCCTGGATTCTTCCCTCACATGCATCATAGCCTGTCAGTCACTGTCTTCTCAAATTCATTCACAGCAATATTTTTCTTTCAAAATAGACACCATAGGGGCAGCTAGGTGGCACAGTGGACAGAGCACTAGCCTTGGATTCAGGAGGACCTGAGTTCAAGTCTGGCCTCAGACACATAACACTTTCTAGCTGTGTGACCCTGGGCAAGTCACTTAATCCCATTGCCTAGCCAAAAAAAAAAAATAGACACCATAGCCACTCTAGTCCAGGCCCTGATCCCCTCTTTCCTTTTCTGTTACATTGTCTTCTTCCTCCTCTTCTGTCTCTTGTTCCTCCTTCTCTTTCTTCTTCCCTTCCTCATCCTTTCTTTCCACTCTTCTTTCTCCTTATCTTCTTCTTGTCTTCTTCCTCCTTCTCCTTTTCCTTTCCCCCTCTTCAGAATGTTACTTGGGGGGCAGCTAGGTGGCACAGTGGCCCTGGAGTCAGGAGAATCTGAGTTCAAATGTGGCCTCAGACACATGATACTTACTAGCTGTGTGACCCTGGGCAAGTCACTTAAACCCCAATTGCCTCACCAAAAAGCAAGGAAAAAAAGGAAAGAAATAAAGAAGAAAGCCAAATTGCCAGTATCAGAAATGAAATGGGGGAATGTACCACCGATGAAGATGAAATTAAAGCAATTAGTAGTAGTTATTTTGTGTAGTTATAAGCCAGTAAAACTAACAATCTGTGAAGTGGATGAATATTTACAGAATTACTCAGATTAACAAAAAAGGAAGTAAAATACTTAACCCTATGTTAGGCAAAGGGGGCAAGTAGTGCTCAGTGAGGCAAGAAGGGTAGGTTATACCCCAGAAGTGAAGGGTTTTTAAACCTAAACAGTGTTGTTTATGTTTTACCCAATGGTCAATAATGTTAGCCGCTGGTGCTGTTATCAGAGGTATTGGTTTCATTTTTTTCTGGATGTCCTAGATTATGATTTGGACCCTTTGCAAGCTTTGCTGATGTTTATGCAGTATGTAAATGCCAACGTAGGATGAGCTTTGTAAGAAGATGAAGTGAGATCAGTCTTGACCAGAGAGCACAGAGGAAGCAGCTGAGCTGCCTGGGGAGGTTTTTGTTCAGGGCTGGAGCACTGTGGGAAACCAATTTTTATACTGCTGACAGTAATAAACTCCAGCATCTTCAGTCTCCACGCCGCTGATGGTGAGAGTGTAATGTGTGCCAGACCCACTGCCGCTGAACCGGGATGAGACCCCAGAGTACAGTGTGGATGTGTAATAGATGAGTAACTTTGGAGACTGACCGGGTTTCTGTTGGTACCAGTCTAAATACTTGCTAATGTCTTGACTGGCCGTGCAGGAGATGGTGACTGTGTCTCCTGGAGTCACAGACAGGGAAGTTGGAGACTGGGTCATCACAATCTCTCCATTGGCATCTATAATGAAAAAGAAAGCTCAGATGGCACCCACTGTTGACTAGACTTTTCTTCATAAGACTTTTAAATAGAAGCAGCTAAAGGAATTTTACTGGGGTAGACATAACATACTCTAAAAAATGAGGATATTTTACAACTCCAGACACAGGTTCTGAATTATCCAAAAGGAGACCCAAAGCATGTGAAGCATCCCATGGCAGCCCTATGTATGTCCATTCTCACCTGGAAGCCCAAGCAGGAGGAGGCAGAAGAACTGAGCTGGGGACACCATCTTCACACTGTGCTCTGTGCAGGGCTGATCCCTGAGCAAGTGAGTAAGAAGACCCTCTGATAAAGGTTCTGTGCAGTAGGAATAGGGTGGGGGTGGAGATAGGAGAGAGTATGCAAAGCAGCCTGGCCCTTGATAGGGGAAAGGGGGATGGTCTGGGCTCCCAGGGGCAGAACTAGTTTGTCTCCAGGGCTGACCACCTAGTTAATAGTTAATAATTCTCTTGCATTTTCCTTGAGAAAACAGACTATTCATGACAACCTTTCAAAGCACCTTAGGATCCTTCCCTTCCTTTATTCCAGTGTCAAAGCAGTCCCTTCTCTAGATCAGTTCCAGCCTTGCCTTAGGCCCTTAATTTATGCCCTTGCGTTAATCCCAGCAGCCTGAACCCCAGATTTCATGGTTTGGTAAAACAAAGCAAGCCCTGCACTTGACTGTAGCATCTCCTCAAGCTCTCATCCTATAGTGTTCCTTTAATTCACAGACTGCGAGAAAAAGCTGTCTGCATTCACTTTGTCCACCTTTCTCACATTGCAGTGGCTTCTTACTCCCTTTGAATTGGGCTTCTTATCATACCTCCCTACTAGAACCCCTCTCTCTAACATCAGCAAAGATCAATTTGTTCTTGAACCTGATGACCTGAATATTTCCTAATGCTCTCTGTAGTATTTGATGCTCTTGAGCCTTCCTCTCCCCCAGTCACCCACCCCATCCTTCTAGATACTTTCTCCTCCCCAGGTTTTCTTGACACTACTATGTCAGGGTTCCCTTTCTTCTTCTTCCCTCACTGGTGGAAGTTCCCAGCATCCCATAAAGTACCATAATGCATGCCCTCCCACACTTTCCACCTCCACCCCCACCTCCACACCATAAATGGATGTCTCATGGGCTCTAGTCTGCCCTTCTCCCCATCTCTGTCTTGTAATGGACAAGTCTTGTCGATTGCACTTCCTTAATATTCCCCATAAGTCTTCTTTTCTGTCTATGCACATAACAAGCAGTGTACCCCAGGTCCTCATCACCCCTTCCCTATTCTATTTCAAGTCATTGTTGTAGGCAGCCAGGTGGTTCAGTGGACAGAGCATAGGGCTTCGTTTCGAGCACCTCTAGTTCAAATCCTACCTCAGACGCTTATTAGCTGTGTAACTCTGTGCAAGTCACTTAACACCCCTCAGCCTCAGTTTCCCCTTGTATAAAATGGAGGTTAATAGAACCTGCCTCCTAACTGGTAACTAGAATAAAATGAGCTAGTGTTTGTAAAGTGCTTTGCAAAGATTGAATGGTTATATGAGTGGTAGCTATTATTGCTGCTGTGGTTAATTTCTCATCCACCTTCTTTCTCTTCCTCTTTTTCTTTCTCCTTGTTTTTATATGCAACAGTAGTTGATGGCTTCACAAACCATAGTCCTCTCCCAGTCAGTGAGCATAAGGGGATGCTGAATTTCTCATTTCAGTTGTATCCTGGAGGTAGCACAGTGTGGGGCTAGGCAGCTAGGTGTCATAGTACTTAGAGCTCTGGACTTGAGTGAAGAAATGCTGAGACCAAGTGCTGCCTCAGGCACTGGCTAGTTGGATCACTTTAGGGAAATCACTTAATCTTTCATGCTCAGTTTCCTTTTGTCTAAAAGAGCAGTAGTAGTATCATCTCTCTCAGGTCATTGTGAGAATTAAATGAGGTGACATTTGTAAAGTACTTCAAATACCTCAGAGTGCTATATAAATGCTATGTTATCAATGTTAGGAGGAAGAGCAGGAGGAGGAGGAGCAGGAGGAGGAGGAGGAGGAGGAGGAGAGGAGGAGGGTGGTGCTGTAGTAACCTAGAATGCTGGTAGGTCTGAGTACAAATCCGAAGTCAGACACTCACTAGTTTTGTGACTCAGTAATTCACTTAATCTCGTGGGCCTCAGTTTCTTCATATGCAAAATGGGGGTAACAGTAACACCCATCACTTAAAATTTTTTAAGGAAAAAATTAAATATTTTTGACGTTTTCTTTTTACGCCTAAATAATAAGTGCTAGTTAGTATTAACTATTGTTATTAAAATCATCACTATCGTCAATATTATTGTTACATACTCTTGGACTGAGTGACAGAATTCCTAGGTTTCATTCTCAACTATTTCCCTTAGTACCCCAATCATTTGAACCAAATTATTTCACTTCTCTGAATATCAGCTTCTTTTTGTCTACAGAGTAAATAGTAACCACCCCTCTGATTACCCCACAGAGTTATTATGGAGCTCAGAGAAGGACCTGGGAAGTGCCAACATACAGTCCTCTTGTTATTCATTTTGAAGTTTCCTTCCCTGTTTGTGTGACTTTGGTTGTCACTTAGTCATCCAGAGGGGGAGGGTGAACGAGGGAAAGTACAGGTCTCAGAGAGAGCCAGAAGGTGGAAGTTTGTTTTAGAACTCCTTTGTTCTGAGTTCTTAGCCTGGTGACATATTCTTTATCTTAAGAAAGGGTCAGAGAAGGGAGGACATCAAAGGTCTCAGGTCTCATTTTTATTTTGAAATTTTCTTCTTAGGAGTTGCATTGCCCTATTTTGAGGGCTAAGGTTTTGTTTACAAAATTCTGTGTATTTATTCTTTTTTTTGTAGATAATTAATTTATTTTTAGTTTTCAACATTCACTTCGAGAAAGATTTTGAGTTTTAAATTTTCCACCCTTCCTCTCCTCCTGAAGACGTGCATGCAGTCTGATATACGTTCTACTTATACATTCATATTAAGCATATTTTCCCATTACTTATGATGTAAAGAAGAATTAGAACTAATGGGAGAAACCATGCGAATGAAGCAACAAAACAAAACAACAAAAGCATAGGAGAGCAAGTGGTATGCTTCCATCTGCATTAAGATTCCACAGTTCTTTCTTTGGATATGGAGAGCAATTTCCATCGTGAGTCTTTTGGGGTTGTCTTAGTGTGCATGTATTCTTTTGCCTGGTCCTTGAAACTTCTCTCTATAGGTCCACTATTGTTATTCCCATTTTAGAGATGAGGAAATGCTCCCTCTTTACCCCAATACTTATTCCTTCATGTTTCAGTAGAAGGTTCTTCACTCAGCTCTTTCCTTGCACACATTACCTTCTCCATACTTGAATTCTGTCTCTTATAAAAGAATGTAAGGTCTTTGATGTGAAGAAAATGATGCATAGACATAGAGCAGCAGTTTCAGCATGTCTGCAGACCCATCTCCAGTCCCTGGGTGCTCTAGCTCCCTTTTTTAGAGTGAAGGATAAGTTAAAGAGGCACAAGGCAAAGTTCCCTCTGATTCTGGAATTTGATCTGAGCCTATCCCGGATTACTAGGGAGAAGAGAAACTCTATGGGAAGAGCCTTAGGAGCCTTTTTGACCAAATTCTCATGTTTGCGTTTATCATATGTGTGAGTATGTAAGGAACGTACCTCCACATTCAGACTAAGATCTTTGAGATTACCTGAATGTCAGTCACCTCCATAATACCTGACACAGGGCTAGGGAGAGAGAAGGTGCTCTGCCGGGAGCGCCTGCATCCACAGCCGTGGTCTGATGCCGCAGAGGGTGAAGAGAGAAAGAACCACGGGCCAGGTGAGGCAGTGAAGAACAAACTCTGTTTGTTGATCTGAGGGCTCAGGCTTACATAGTACCGGATCAAGCAACAGTAACATTGTTATTCATGAAAAGTACAAATCTAATTAGTGATTTCCTTCCTTCCTTGTACCTTGTCTGTTACATTCTGTCCTGCGTCCTGTCCTGTACCCCGTCCGTTTCCTCCCTTCCTGCATCCTGTTCTCAAGAGACGGAGCAGGGGGTGGTGAGCCACATCCTGAGTTTCACAGCTGTTGGGCTTAGTACAAACTAGGTAAGACCCGCAGTGGCCTAACCCTCCAACTCCCAAATTTGGCCCTCTACAGTGCTCAGTCCCTCTTTACAATGTCAGCTGCACAGAGATGAAAAGAGGAAATGGATGTGAGTGTAAAGTGACCAAGGAGGCTGTCGTGGGCATCTCAGCAGCAGTTCCTGCCCTGAATCAGCTGTACTGGATGGCACAGAGAGGTTTTTGCAGCAGGCTGTATTACTGTGTCAGGTAATAATTCCCAGCATCCTCAGCGACACCTTTGATGGTGAGGGTGAACTCAGTGCCATATTGACTACCACTGAACCTGGCAGGCACCCCAGCATGGAGGGTGGAAACATATTTAATGAGGAGCCTAGGAGACTGTCCTGGCTTCTGCTGATACCAGTGCAGGTCATCATCGATATCCTGGCTGGCCTTGCAGGTGATGGTGGCTGTCTGTCCTGGAGAAGCAAGCAGGGAGTCTAGAGCCTGGGTCAGCAAGGTGCCTGCTCTGGACCCTGGTTAGTGGAAGAAGCTCCAGATGAAAACATCCACTAGGAATACCCACTCACTGGGCTCTGCACAGACACTGAGAGACAGAGCATTTGAAGGCTGGGTCATTGACACTGGGGTCAAGGCAGTGCCAGCCTTCAGGGTGTGCTGAATGTGTGTCTCTTACCTGGGATGGTGAGTAGCAGGAAGCAGAGGAGTGAGCCAGACAGCCCATCTTGGTGTGTTGGGTCCCCCAGGAGAAGAGATCAGTCACCATAACCCAGAAAAGATCCTCTTTATAACCACTCAGCTGCCCAGGGCCATGTCTCTGGAGGCAAAACATGCAAATGCCAAGGGCTCAGAAGGTGTTGGCTATCTAAAAAGAAGAGAGTCCTGGTAGACTTCACAGGCTGATGAGAGGGGAGGAGGAGGGACTTTTTCTGGGACCTTAAAGATATATACAGGCTTCATATATGGGCTGTCCCAAAAGACTTAGTGCAATTTAAAACTTTTGAGGACAAAAAAACCGTGCTACATTTTTGGGTTACCCTATATTTTCATTTGTAAAGGATCTTAGAGGTCATTAAGTGCAACCCTGCTCATTCCACAAATGGGAAGTGTGAGACCCAAAGTGGTGGAGGGTCCAGGTAAGGCACCTACTCCCTACCTCTTTGGGGGAACAGTCTCCTGTGCTTGGTACCCAGACATTCAGTCCCCCATGAGGACAATCTGGAGGGATCTTGGCCCCTCCTG